GAAGAGATAACAATTGTAGACATCTATGCACCAAATATAGGAGCACCCACCTATAAGACAAATTCTAACAGACATGAAAAATGAAATAAATAGCAACACAATCATAAAAGGGGACTTTAACACACCATTGCCACAAAGAGATAGATCAACCGGACAAAAAGTTGGGAAAGAAATAACAGAACTTAACCAAAGGTGTGAACATATGGACTTAGTAGACCTGTATAGAGTGTTCCACCCAACCGCATCAGAATACACATTCTTCTCAGTGGCATATGCGAGGTTCTATAAAATAGACCATATACTAGTACACAGAACATGTTTAAGTAAATGCAAAGGAATTGAAATTATCCCATGTATAGTATCATACCATAATGCAACGAAATTGGAAATTGATGACAAAAGAAGATACAAAAACTCCATAAACAGTTGGAAATTAAATAATATCCTTGTGGAACAACCAATGGGTCACAGATGAAATCAAAGTAGAGATTAAACAGTATTTACAATCAAATGAAAATGGAGATACAACCTACAGGAGCCTGTGTGATGCAATGAAAGCAATCCTCAGAGGGAAATTATTAGCAGTAAATGCCCATCTCAGGAAAACAGAACAAGCACAAACAATCTTATGCTGCACCTCAAGTTCCTAGAAAAAGAAGACCAACTCAAACCCAGAGCCAAAAGAAGGCAGGAAATTATAAAGCTTAGAGCAGAAATTAAAGCAATGGAGTGTAAAAAAACTATACAAAGAATTAATGAATCAAAGAATTGGATCTTTGACAGACTAAATAAAATAGATAAACCCCTAGCCAACCTTATCAAAAAAAGGAAAGAAAAAACTGAAATAAATGCAATGAGGAATGAAAGGGGTGAAATCACTACAGATCCTGAAGAAATTCAAAAGATCATCAATACCTACTTTGAAAATCTTTACTCTCATAGGATGGAAAATACAGAGGAAATGGACAGATTTGTAGATACATATGAATTACCAAAGCTGAATTAAGAAGATATAAAAATTCTGAATAACTCAATATCAGCCAGTTAAATTGAGAATGTAATTGAAAACTTGCCAATGAAGAAAAGCCTGGGTCCTGATCGATTCTACAAGCAATTTAGGGAAGAGTTAACAGGAGTTCTTCTTAAACTCTTTAATGAAATTGAAAGGGAAGGAGTTCTCCCCAACTCATTCCGGGAGGCAAGTATTATTCTGAGACCAAAACTAGAGAAAGACCCAATGAAGAAAGAGAACTACAGACTACAGAGAACAATCTCCCTAATGAATGTAGATGCTAAATTCTCAATAAAATACAAGCAAATAGAATACAACAAGTCATCAAGAAGATCATACACCACGACCAAGTGGGATTAATACAAGGAATGCAGGGATGGTTCAATATATGCAAATCAATCAATGTAATACACCATGTCAATAGAGCCAATGACAAAAATCACATGATCATCTCCACTGATGCAGAAAAAGCCTTCAATAAAGACCAACACTCATTCATGTTGAAAACCCTACAAAAAAACAGAAATAGATGGTCTTTACCTCAAGCTAATCAAAGCCATCTATGATAAACCAACTGCTAATATCATACTAAATGGTCAAAAATTGAAAGCTTTCACTTTAAAAT